GGATAGCACAGTGGTAATGTCTGAAAATAAGCTGCTTTAAAGTCAACATCAACCGTAAACTAAATCTGCCATGATGCCGCTACTCACTAGAAACTTGTCAGTGAGTAAACGTTTTTTTGTTTTACTTTTAATAATATTTCTGTATTTATTACAGATTTAGTCAGTCATACACTTAGTTCTTATCAGGGTTTAAAAGAGGACGTGTTAAAACTCTGTTTAGTCAACATGAAACATGTTGTCAACATGAAACATCAAAGTTTATTACAACTGGCCCTTGGAGGGCCACCATAACGCTGATGTGGCCCTCGGTGAAAATGAGTTCTATGGAGACTAATCAGTGCCAATCACATTCACTGATGGGACACACATCAGAGGCATTAGGGTTGAAGTAACTTGCCCAATGATACAACAACTGAGACAGCTGGACGGGGGATYGAACCKGTGACCYTTTGGTTCCAGGACGACTCCCCTAACCACTCGAGTAAMCCTTGGCTGCAGACCGTGGCATGGGGCGGGGTCGGATAACAGGCGGGGTCGGACGTCTGACACCACCCTCAACTCTAAAATTAACCAACCCCAGATGCTAAATACTAMAATTAACCAACTCCAGATGCTAAATACTAMAATTAACCACGCCCAATTTTTTAAGCCTCCTATTAAACTTCCCTACAAGCCATGACCACACCCATTGGACGTCCGWYCCCGTCTAGTATCCTAATCCGCAGTCTACAGCGGGGGTACTTGAACCACTCTGCYACAGCCGCCCCAATATTACTRCTAATATTCGGTAAATGTGCACATTTGTCCTAAACATCCATGTTAAGGAGTGAAAGTAAAACAACTACCTTTAATAATGTATTACTGCATTTTATGTAAGAGATTTAAACTGTCACATGTTGAGAAAAAGTTCTAACCACTTTAAAAATAACGGYACATGCAATATATCACAATATCATGCCATATCATAAAATTTCATGTCTTTTTGTGCTCACAGTATGTGTTTTAAATGACTCCTAGTTACTAACACATGCGAATTCAGTTGGCCCAAGTGACCATCTTAAATTAGAACGACTCATCTTTGTCAGTTCTAGATGCAAATCCAACGTGCGTCCGGTGTTTTGTTAAAATTCATATGGTGATTCATGAGATATTTTACTAACACAGATAAACGAGCATATACTTGAACATAGGTGGTTGATAGAATGACAAAATTACTTAGATAACAGTAACACATCTGATCTCAGGTCCAGATGTTTAAGCAGATGTCAGCTTGTTTTTCTTTCTGCGAGAATCATTAAGAACAGATGAATTTCTTAATTTACAAGCTGCTAATGACAAACTTTATTTTAGTCTTGCATATATAATTGTGCATCTGAGCACAACATATGTTTGTCATTTTTGAAGAGAGTGTCTGTAAAAGTATGTGAGGCCGTCTGTACAATATTTGTACCTACACACCCTCAAAACTCATTAATTTGACACATTTGAAACTTCAAATAGCTAAATAATTATTGACTGAATACACCAAAATCAACAAAAACATATTTATTAACGTTTTTCTACGACTTAAAACTTGTACTGCTCTCAGCCTCCAGAAGGACTCTATTTCATTTTCATGGTGTTGATTTTTTACACATTTTAATATTTATAAAATATATATATTCTTATAAGCAATTAACCCCTTCACCAAAATGCCTACAAAACCTGGAAAAGCAAACTCAAATTAATAAATTATTTTACATGCGGTTCTTGAACCCTTAGTACATGCAAGAGCTTGGGTTCTCTATAAAACGAACACTGAATTTTAATCACAACAATCGAAATGATTGTAACTAAAATTATTGTCAGATCAAATTTGACAACGGTAGCACAAATGATTATTCTGAACATACACAGACCCAGTTGGTCAAAAGAGGTAGCAATCAAAAGGAGTGGGGCTAGGCAGCCATGGTATCTGAAACTCCAAGCAGAATCTATGAAGCTCTGTATTGAAACCTRAGTCAACTATTTCTGTGGGCAGACCACTGCCAGTTATGATGTTAATTAGTTAGTGCAGCCACCGTAAATCAA